TTGGGTTGCCGAGCTCAGCTTCACAGAGAAGAAGCAGGGCAGTGCCTCCAGAATTGTACGAAGCGCAGTAGTTGGCGGATTTTGAAGACATATCCGCGAGATAGATACCTTTGCCAAACATGTATCCGCTGACAGGGGCTTCCGGTGGAGCGATTCTGAGACCTTGACCCAAGATACCACCATAGTTGGTGACTCGGGATCCGTGCCAAAGCAAGCGGCGGTTGCTTGCGATCTTCGCATACTTGCTCTTGTCGAAACGGTCGAATTCTCCTTGACGCTCGATGCGGAAAATCTCTTGAACTTTGTAGCTGACATGATGTGTCTTGCCCTTCGAGTTGTTGAGATACTCGTCGATCTCCACGAATTCGCGACTCTTGTGTTGAAGAGGGGTCATCTCGTTCATGCCAAGTCCCTGGAATTGTTTGTCGAGCTTGTTCACATCGCTCTTGTCCTTCAATTGGTCCTTGAGCATGGCAGCAGTCTCCTTCATGTCCGACAGACTATAGTGGAGTACGAAGTCAGTATATGCCTCACATGCATTCGTACAGTCAAGAAGACTTACCTCTCAAGTAGCTCAATCTCCTTCTTAAGGAGTGTGATGTCTCGAATGACCGGCGGGCGATTGCGACCGAAGGCGTGTGGGATGAGAGAGAAGTACTGGTTCGACAGACGTTCAACCTCTGCCCTTGAATCGTTGTCGTTCTCGTCGATAAGCACGGACAGGTCCTTCAAAGTCTGGAAACCACGAGCGATGGTACCTTTACTAAGCTTACCCAGTGGGAGCTTGTTTGCGTCGTAGTTCAGGGCAGTCATGGTTTGATTGAAGTAATCCTAGTTGAAAATGTTAGCCTGAAATTCGTGTTGCCGCATACGCATCGCTAAAAAGTAACGGATGGACACGTCCTGAGGCTATGTAGTCTCCAGCTCCATGATCTTTCGTTTTTTTTCAAAATGCGACGCGGGTTGTAGCCACCCGGGTACTCCAAAAGCACTGGATTCTTACCTGGTTGAAGATGAGCTTCATAAGATCCTGGACCGGGGGAGACAAGGTGCTGTCGGGCGCTACGCCATTGGTCTCGTTGACATCAGCACCAGCATCGGCATCGCCGTCGTCATCGTCATCCGAGTCAGGGTTGTAGGAGCGCTCTACGTAGGCGTATTTGCCAGCCTTCGGCTCGTCACCGCGGTTCGCCCACTTGAGGCCAGACTTGTCCTTGAACTTCTTCTCAAACTCCTGCATGGCATTACTGAGGCCTCCATCGCCAAGCATCTTCATCTGGCCACGGTCGCCGACTCGCCCCCAGCGTGTCCACGTTCGGTAGCTGGAGCCATCGGTGAGAAGCTGGACTTTGTAGAACTTGTCTAAGGTAGTCAGCATACACGTCCAAAATCTGGGATTGACTGCCGTTACTCACTGTTGTTTGCAGACGAATTCGTTTGGTTGAGTGACGCGTCGTAGATCGTGCCGTCGTTGTTGTCGATGTAAACGCGCCAGCTAGACAGAGGGCAATGCTCGTCTACGGAGATGGCAATCTGCTTGGACTTGGCATTTTGTCCATCTCCAACTTTGGCATTCTCTTTGATCTTGGGCTTCTTGGTCTCCTGTTGTGCAGTTGGTGGTGATGCAGATGACGCCGCGCGCTTCTTTGACCCGTTTTGGACAGGGGCAGGAGCAGAGGCAGGAGCTGGCGCCGCCGCAGAAGACAACACATATTGCGACTCAGGAATATAGGAATCTGCTCCAACCATCAATTTGAAGTTCTTCGTTAAGAGTTGAAAAGCATGTTGCGGTTCTGAGTGCGTCGGAATGTTGTGGACTTACCTGTCGCCTCGCACTCGTCGAGCCATTCGAGGCTAACGATCGACACGTTCTGAGCAACAGCAGTCTTGACTTTCGTGGAATTGCTTTCGAATTCTTTTTGCGTTGCGATGAGATGGGTGGTGTCCGGCGTGACGCTCGACAGGAACTCGGCGCCGAGTGACGTTATACGCGTTTGTAGCGTCTTCTGAGTTACTCCACTCGGGAAGCGGCCAGATGCCGCGATGGACAATCCAGTGAGTACCATTGATGCGATTGATGCGATTGATGCGATTGACTTCGATGAACCTTGGAAGACGCGATGCAGCTGGATTGGGGGCGCAGAATGGCTATTTGAACATTTGGTTGAGACGGAACCAGGTGGCCGATGAGACGGTGGCCTGTGTTCGGAAGGAACGCCCTTAGGCATCAGCGCCCAAAGCGGACTAGCCCGCGTTTCTGCCTTCGCGAACGGAACGCGTGCACACATGATAAGTCGTGCCACAAGCACCCGCATCATCACGACAGCAAACTTCACTCATCAACGTCGCTTCCTGTCAAGATGGCATCACTACTCACCATACCGCTGGAATTGCTGGTCGCGGTATCAGAATACCTCCCTACTGAAGATCTTGGTTCACTTCGTCTTGCATGCAAACAAACCGAGAAGTCGCTTTATGAATGGTTTTCCAAAGAGTTCTTCTTCAAGAAGCAGTTCATGCTCACGCACAAGAGCCTACAGGCGCTCATCGACATATCCAAGCATGCCAGTCTTTCCAAGAAGCTGGTACATATCATCATTGCCACCAATGTCTACAGCGAGATACCACTACGCTTCAGGGACGACGACGCCGCTACGCGCTACATTCAGGGCTACGAGGACCAGAAAGCGCTTTTGGGTACTGGGATCGACCGCGAGATGCTTACGGAAGCTTTCGAGCGTCTCGAGAACCTCACCACCGTCGGGATCCGCGACTTCAACGCAGGCAATCGAGTTCGTGATGGCAAGAGCTGGAGCTCCTGGGGCGCAACTACCGTCCATCGCGAGACCGGTATTGAGCTACGGTTCGCCGATCGCGATTCCTTCGGACAGGATGTCGGCACTCGTTTCACGTCTCGCGTCTTCTCCAGCGTGTTGTACGCTTTGGGCAAGGCTAACCGACGGCCTACTGAGTTTGAGGTGTTGCTTCGTCAGCGCGGCCTGCCCGACACGGCATTCTTCCTTCCAGACTACATCAGACCTACAGTGGAGCCCATACTGCAGAACACGAGCACGTTACTCTTGAATGTGGACCTCAAGCCTCGTTACCTGCACACCCATAGTAATGGAACGTCAGTGGATCCAAACGCGGGACGCTCGCTTCGGCGCTTCCTCCATTTCACTCCCAATCTCGTTCATCTTCGCCTGAACTTTGAGAAACATCTGGTGGCTAATAACGAGGACTTTCTGCAGTGGTTGGCTACTCCGAAACCCACTACCGGCTCAAATACAGCGACTTTTCTTGACCCTGTCCCAGTTGCTCTACCGCTCTTAAAGAACCTCGAGCTTGGTCAGCTGAGCGCTCGGGCTGATATTCTGTTCAACTTCATCTCCAAGTTCGCGCCGACTCTGGAAGATCTGAGCCTTTGGAGGATGAACATCCCCGCTGTAGTCGCTCCACCTCACGGACACAAGCCCAACTTCTGGCGCGACTTCTTCCGCAAGCTGTCCAAGACGCCGCGACTTGGTCTTACTCATCTTAAAGTCGGCATGTTGCAACAAGACCACATGTATGTGACTTTCAAGAGCGATGATGCAAACAGCAATTTGAACATCCCAGTCCCGGCGAAGAAGGTGATGGAGTACGCCGGAGCAGATATGGGCAAGTTTTGGGAGGAATTACAGGAAGAGGTGACCGTGGATTGGCCGGCGACGGTACCCGTCGATCTTGACGCAAGCGACGTACAAAGTGAAGATGAAGACGAAGAGATGGACGATGATGAAGACGATAGCGATGAGTGAGACGAGTTTCTAGGTGCTTTCATGATGTTACGATCCATACTCCCTTATTCCAGCCTTTCCTTTCTTAAGCAATAGTTGCATGACACACTTCTCCAGCACTGTCCTAATGACAACTTTACTCAAGCTTCGTGGTGTACAACTAGCTTCACATCCGTGGATACTACACATGTCGCTCATCTGCCCAAACAACTCTTCTTCCTCAAGTCTAGGCGCAAGGCTCAGAGCTCAATGAAAAAGATGACAAGATACCGTTGACAGACACGCATCACTGATGCGCACGGTACACAAACAGCACTGCGAACAGTGCGTGTTGAATGCCTGGAAGAACGAGAATCACCTCGTCCTCTCTCCAAATCCCAAAGCCCTCGGAGGTCAGTATCTGCAAGCGACAAGCACTGCGTCAGATAGACTGTCTGTGACCAGACTGAATGCGATTCCACCTTTCATCTTTGTGGTGGCCTCTCATCTTTCCCTGTTGACCCGCTTAGCGGACATCATCAGTATACCAGACCGGAGACCGGCCTGGCTGGGACGACAAGGCGCTCGAGGCGGATCTTGAAGTTGCTGACAACCAACCCATCTAGTAAGTGTCGTCGTACCCTGCCACGTGGGACCCCGTACGTAAATCGGGCGCGACAGTTTGACCTCCAGTAACCCAGCTTAGCTGACAGCCACTTGGCGGTTGCACCAGCTTAGCTGACATGCGAGTTGACATGAGACCTTCCCATGGCAGTAGTAATCTGCGAAGCAACTGAAGAGAAAAGAAGAAGTCAAAGTGGGCGGGGAGCAGCAGTTTATATACCCAGAGGGCGGCGCCAAGATCGTACGGCGCTAGGCGTCAGTCACCTCCGTGGGGCTTGCGGTTGCGGCTAGGCAGCCGGTTCTCACTCTCACTTCGTACCTAGATAGGTTAGACCCAAGTCACGCGCTCGTGGAGACTGTTTGATTATCAGAATAGACGAATAGTACGCAAGCACCCTTGGGCAACTCGTCCTTCACTCCGTAGTCGACCTCCCGATTACGCAGTTCTTGGAGGCAAAACAGTCGAGACCTGCCTGCCACCCGAAAACAGCCTTTTTCCTACCTAGGTAGCTTTCACGATGCTTGGCATTCACTCCTACTATAAAGTCAGGCACCGCCCTCAGCAAGGCAACCAATTTGATTCCCACATCCAGTCGTTTCCAAGCGATCACCTCAAAGATGGCGACTGGAAAGATCAAGAACGAGCCGCCCAAGAAGACCGAGGCCCAAATCATCGTCGACCTACAAGAGCATATCATCGTCCTCGAAAAGCGCCTGCGGAAGAAGCAGAAGATGTGAGAGGTCACCGATGACGACAACAACAACTACAACTACAACTACAACCACGACGACAACAGCTACAACAGCTACAACGAAGACGACAACAACTACAACTACAACGGCGACAACGACAACGAAGACGACGACAGCGAAGACGACGACAATGACAGCAAGGACAGCGATGACGACGATTACGGCGATGTCGCTCCAATCTTCTCCAACACCTCCGACACCCAGCTCGCCCTCCGTCTCGATGGCGTCACGCGTCAGCGCGATCAATACAAGGGCGCGATCGAGGTTGGCCTTGCCGAGAACACCAAGCTCCGCGAAGAGCGCGACCACTACCGGGATCTCTACATGGGAGTGGTTCGCTCTACCGGCAGCGCCAACACCAACAGCGTCGGTAACAACAACTTCCTCAAGATCGAGTCGAACTCTACCCACTACCACATCAACATGGCTCAGGATAGCAACCCCTTCAGTGGCTTCGTCAAGGCGCCCAAACCCAGCGAGCCCAGCGAGCCCGAGGTCAAGCGTCCGACATACGGCGACCAGTGTCTTCGCGAGAAGAGGCGCAAGCCTTGTCGCAAGACTTCATGTCCCTACTGGCACCGTTCCCAAGGCGCGCGTTTCGCTGCCATTCGCCCTACTCTCTTCTCCAACAAGGCTGCCGAGAACCGAGCTCAGCGCCGCTGAACATGGCTGTCGGGGTATTCAGCGGCTATTGACAGGAGCTTAGTGAAGCGACCCAGTGCTGACAGCCTACAGGGTGGACTGTGGTGATAGGTTTGGGTTTGGGGTTGACATCGACAACCTCCTCGAGAGACTAAAGGATGGTGTTACTTGGCTTACACGGCGTTAAGATCCTCCTAGGAGGCTATGAAAGAAGGGTGTTCTGGTGTTAGTCTTTCGCGATACCCATTGCTTTGTAGTCTAACTAGTACGAATGAAAACCTACCGTTGCACAGGGGAGTATGACCAAGTAAACTCATGTGAAGACTTTGAAGGTTACGAAAAGAGTGAATGGCAAATGACCTGATGACATGTATGAACAAAATGATGAGAGGAAAGACAACGTTAAGGGCAGTACGACAGCATGTTGTTTTCTACGAGGCCCATAGGACTTCCCGTAGGCTTCTACGAAGACGTGAGATCCTCCAGGAATATCACAAAGCCCTTTGCTTGGGTGGCAATGGAGCGATGTCAGCTTCCCCGCCCTCCCCAAAATGGCGATCTTTTCTGAGAGCACACATCCGATGTATATGCTAGCTAAAACAAACGAGATCCCAAAGCCGGTCGGATGTCTGTGCGACATTACTCAGTCTGACATATTGGGTACGTGCCTCTTAGCTATGTGTTGACCGGTTCACCGGTCAAGACATTTCTAGCCAATCAGCATCATTTTCGCAACAGACACCTTGCGATTTCCTTTCTCTTTCTTGCATTGACCCGAAATCGGTGTACGTCTCATCGTGTCACCTATCAGATGCAGTGAGCATGCTGCAGATGTCCACATGAGTTGAGGTTGACGCTTGACACGACCTCGCCTCGTGTCGCACAGTCGATGGGCAGCGGAAGCAGGCGCAGGCGCGGGGTCGTAAGGCAACATGGGCATCTTCGTCGGGCCTACATGTTTGGAGGCGCACTGCAGTCTTGATGCCAGTCTACTCAAAGAGACTATCGTCGACGGCACCAGTCAGTTTATAGATGTAAGGGGCCGAATGTGTTGACAGCGTTCACGATCGTAGCTCCCGGTTTACTGACCGGAGCGCTCGAGCTGGCACGTGCACTATGCGGTGGCTTTACCGGTGAGATCCTCGACAACACTAAAACGCCGGTCACATCTCAATCGGAGCTCAAGCCTTTCGCAATCGCAGTTCTTCCCCGAGGCATTACGAGGTAACACGATGGAAGTTCTCGATGCGAAAGGTCTCTCTGAGCGCCTGAGATGGGAAGACAATGAGTACTGGCTGCACCTCGAGGCTGAGACTCCGTTTGAGAAGTATCCCGGTATGTCTGGGAAGATGAGTGTGGGTCGCGCAATCAGCTAACGTCGCGCAGCAAAACAACATGCGCGGAGGGTGCAAGAGAAGTTGGGTGTTGAAGAAGGCCTGATCTACCTACCGGGTCAACCAGCGAGGAACAACGAAGATAGCGATATGCCAGCACCCTTCCGACAACGCCGATATTTCTATTACTTGAGCGGGTGCGTTGATCTGGGAGTAAATGAGGACCGTGCTGATGGTATGAAGATGCAATGAACCTGACTGCCATCTGACTTACGACACGCGACGCGACGAACTGTCCTTGTTCATTCCCCGCATCAAGCCTGAGCGCGTTATCTGGTACGGCCGTGGCTCCACCCTAGCAGAGGCACTCGTGAAATACGATGTCGATCAAGTTTTCTACGCAGATGAGCTTGAGTACGCCGTGCAAGGATGGGCGATCGGTAACCGACAGGCTGGCATCTACGTCCTGCACCCGTCATCGCAATTCCCCGGCTGCGACAATCTGAAGCCCCGTATTGATTCGATAGCCCTCCGATCAGCCATGAACGTATGTCGCATGATCAAGGATGATCACGAGATCAAGCTTATTCGGAAAGCGAACGACATCAGCTCGCAAGCGCACCGAGAAATCCTTGCTAACATCACGAACTTCAAGAACGAGGCACAGGTTGAGGGATTGTTCATGGATGTATGCATATCGCAGCAAGCGAAGCAACAGGCCTACGATCCCATCGCTGCTTCCGGACCGAACGCCGGAACTCTTCACTATGCCGCGAACGATGAAGATCTCGCGGGTCGTCAACTCATGTGTTTAGATGCAGGATGCGAGTATGAGCTCTATGCAAGTGACATTACCCGTACTTTCCCGCTATCTACTTTTTGGCCAAGCAAAGAAGCCGAGAACATCTACAAGCTGGTCCAGCGTATGCAGGAAACATGTATCAAACGCCTAGAGCCCGGCGTAAGATATCTGGATTTGCACGTTATGGCGCATCAGATCGCAATCGACGGATTGCTGCAACTGGGAATTCTTCACCATGGAACGAAAGAAGAAATCTACAAGGCAGGTACAAGTAGAGCATTCTTTCCCCATGGTCTTGGACATCACATAGGCCTTGAAGTGCATGACGTGGGTCAGGCACAACTCATGAGTGTAAGAAGAGGAAAGCCAGTGTACCAGCAGGTAAGTTCAATCAGTCCGAACATTGATCAGTCGCTAACAATCTGACAAGGCACCATCCCTTTACCCACAGGATTTCCATGTCCCGGTATATGATTCTGAGACTTGCCTCGCGCCCAGCGATCCCCAGAGCAGTCATCTCGAAGAAGGCATGGTTGTCACTGTCGAGCCTGGCATCTACTTTTCCGCATACGCTCTACAACATTTCTATCTCCCATCGCCCGTTCACTCCAAGTACATCAATACTGAAGTTTTGAAGCGCTACATGCCCGTGGGCGGTGTACGCATAGAAGACGACATTCTCATCACCTCCTCTGGTTACGAGAACTTGACTACAGCCCCAAAAGGCGACGCAATGCTTGAAGTCATCCGGCACGGAAAGAAAAGTGCTGTGGACGTGCCGAGTTCCGACTTCACTCCACTACGAAGACCGAGCGGTCCCGTTGAGCCAACTCTGCGACGCGCGCCCGGCATTTCTACGCATACACCATCACAACACTTACAGAAGCCACTCGCCAGAGCGGCAACCCTTCCCGCAGACTTCGTTCAGCAACGCAACTCAGACTTCGCGCCTTTTGCAGGCCCCTCGCTCTTCTCGAACTTCTCACGCTCAATGACCACGGAAGAAAAGATCCAGCAGTGGCAGCATAAGCGTAGCCTAGTACCGATCGCGCCCGTCCCCTCGGTCAACGCGAACCAACCGAATCCTGTCTGTGGCGAGATGAATCTAAACTTCCAGCATGTTTACATGAGCAACGCTTCCAGTCCGGCATTCTCATCACAATCGACTCCGCAATTCGACAGTACACCTCCGTGCCAGAATTGCGCAATCCTGGTACAGACGCTGGATCGGCTGCGTCAAAACCTCACATCCTCTATTCGGAGCTCTTCAAAGCCTGAAGTGAAGGCTACTTCCGAAGCCGATCTGAAGAGCAAGAGCACCAAGCGAGTATGTGATGACGACCGAACAATACCACCACGCATTGGCGAGCTGTCTGTCGGCGCTTCGGCTTGCACCGTAAACCTCGATAAGAACCAGAGAATTCCACTTCCTCCACCCCAGCCTAATGCTAGCAGGACAGGAGATACAAGAGCAGCGCAATGGGCTAGACGCTCCGGCGCAGCTCCTTGTGCACTTCCAATTCGCGCCCAAACTCTGGACAGCCAGATTTCACAAGCATACTTTCGGGGCGAGGAGTCCACAGATAAAGTCCATCCTGTCCCGCCACACAATCAAATCCGCACAGCCACTGGAATACCTGGACGATTCAGGCGTCGCACTCATAGGAAACTTCCCGACCCTGCACCGTCTCCGCAAGCCCTAGAACCGGAAGCTACACGGCAGAAGTTAGAGTCTCTGCAACTGAGACTTGACTCGCTGGAAGAGGGTGCTCGCGTGAAGAGACGACAGCAAGACCAAGATGTGCTGCCCGAACGGTTTCTCGCCTCAAGACCGTCAATGCCAGTTTTGACGTCCCGAAATCCATGGCAACAGCACCATCGACCTACCGCCGCGAGAGGCTCTGGCGATAAGACATCAAGTAACCCGGAAGGATTTGGCATCGATAGAAGTCAGCTCGAACGTTTAGAGGAGAGTGAGCGACAGAGGCGCCTAGAGCGCGATGCATTGACCAGAGATACGTTCTTTCTACGATAATGATACAATGGTTAATCTTATTTTACCAGCTGCGGCAAAGCCAAATACGTTATTTTTACCTTCTCGGTTTTGCTCTTACAAACAATATACGTTTTATTACACTTCATTCATCTTACATGGCCTATCAAGTGATTGAGTCGAGCTAGGCGTCCGAAATTGAATCAATATTTGAAGGTGACGGACAAAAAGCTATAGACCAAACATACAGAACGACATAATCGTGTCGCTATTTGCTCTTTATCTAATACATTCAGACCGCGTCAAGTTGGTCGCCATACACATGTATGTCAACAGCGATGTGTGCGGAGATCACATGTAAAGACCTTTGACCTGCGTGCGCTTGATTGGTAGCAAACAAGTTCGGAACACGATAAACCTCGGCTTGACTTGTCGCGAGCGGTTGTTGTCACCACTTCGTAGTGCCGTCTTGCAAGCACCTTCTAGCTGGTGGCGTTGTTAGGTGTCTACGACATCCTTGAACATTTCGTCCCCTTCCCGCCTGGGCAACTCAGGCGCAGCGGCGTAGAAGGGAGCTGCTACGAACAGAATACAGGGCGCAGCAGGTCTTATACTAGTAATTGAAAGTCGCCGGTATCGAGGAAACACGATCATGGAGGAAATGAAAGGTGTAAACGCAAGGCTGTTGACTTTAGAGATAAGCGTTGATGTGGGGCGCAAGTACCAACATGGGGTCACCCCACTCTGGACCTAAACCTCGTCCTTCGAAGATCATCCATGGACGTTTCATCCGGTCCTTCTCGCCCTCATTTCGGGAGTAAGCATTGCGACAGGCTCCAACTATTCAGGGTCACTGCTTTGTAACAAGTGATCGATCTATGGGTGTTGACGG